CTTCCTGGGCAAGAGTCGTTCGCCCTGCGCCGCCGCTGCGGTGTACATTTTCCATGCTGCTTGCCGCTCACAGCTTCCTGTTTGCCGATCTCACTCGGACATGAGAAATATTCCACAGCCAGTTCGTCTGCACAACGATGTGGTGGTTCAGCAGCTCTATGCTCCGCCTGATGCCCGGTCGTCCGCGAACAACTTGGACTGCTCGGGACCGCGTTCTCTGGGTCGTTACCGGGTTCGTTCCAGCCTGCGGCTCTCTTCCCAGTTTGTTTTGTCTGTCCGCCCAACTTCCCTTGTGCCTTTCCCGGCGCGTCTACCATACCCGTGGCGTATTTAAGCAGCGACTTCCTCTTGTGGCCCAAGTCACTCGTGCGTATCTCTCCACCGCTCCCCCGCATGCATACTTCACAGACTACCTCCCCGGAGCTCCCGGAGGAAGTTTGGGAGAAGATCCTAGGCTATCTGGGCAGAAGGAAGTTTCTGGTCTCCGTAATGACCACCAGTCGATCATTGTATAACGTCGCAAAACGGTTGCAGTATTCTGACTTAGCACTCAACTTCCTGCTCGGACAAATCTATACAGGCAGCACAGCCCGACCTAACGACTGTTTAGAGACACTGGCGATATGTACCTCGGCCTCGTCTCCCGCCAGGGCCGTGCGCCATTTGGCCATTTCGGAGATATCCTACGGTTCTGTTCCCGCACTTCTCACTCGAGCGTTGGCGAGCACTGCAGGACTCAAATCCCTGGATATCCGAGTCAGCCAAGATGTCCTCGATGGCGAACCGCTCTTTTTGTCGACAGATCCTCTAATCACTTCGTCGACATTTCTCCCCGAGCTTTCAGCACTATATACCAATGATACTCGGGTTGTCCTTGCTCTTGCTCCTAGACGACCCCTCTCATCCATCGCTTTGCCCGTGAAGATGGACGCGACAGCATACCACGCGATCACAGACTCACTTTGCCAATCGACGGCCAAAATTACACAACTTTGCTTTTATCTCGAGGTAGAAGATATAGAGGCTGCTTCGCAGTCGTTAGGAGCCATCGCTCGAACATTTCCGAATGTGGCTCAACTTTGCCTCCAATTTAGATTGGCCAACGTCACTCCTGTCACTTGGGTTATGCTGGAGGTATTGCAATTGTTCTCAAACACATATAGTTCACTGAGGTTCTCATAGCACACCATCCATCAGATCGGCCCGTCACTTGTGCGATTAAACGCGCTCAACGTGCTCAGTCTCGTGTATTTTCCCGAGCCAGTAGATAAAGCGGCAAGATACGAAACAGAGACGAGAAGGCTTGCCAATTTAATCGTCGGCTCTGTGCCTCAATTAAGGCGTGTCGAATTGCGATGGCACGGATGGACAATTTCCGGTGGCAGGTGGTCGCCCGTGGATCAAAACCATCTTCTTCGCCAACCGCAGAAATGGCTGTATACAGAAAGCCGAGAAAGGTCGTTATTATCTCGGTGAGTGTTGCGCGTTCACTCTCCCAAGCGTATTACAATCTCATGATGTCTCCAGTGAGGTGATTATATGATGTATTGTATATACTGTTCTGAGGAAGTTGCCGCACTGGTTTGGGGCCATCGATGTACATATCTTCGTACAGTAGTCGCCACAGGTTCTTGGTCAATGAGACCGTTTTGAATTCGGGTTTGCTCGACACACCCATTCAGCATTTGGAAGCCGCTGAATTTGCACAAATCAGGCACTGTCGGAACTTGTACTTGGGGAATGTTTTCGTGTGTTCTGAAAAATTGATATACTGCTTCCTTGAGTGCTGATTGAATCAACACTCAATACAAGGGCCCTGCCCGCGCCCAAGAGGACTCGGGGGACGATTAGCTGATTGCGGGCCGTCGGAAAGAGCCGAATGCGGCGGTGGCATACAAATGGGCACATGTCGGCCCTTCTTACCGTTATCGCCTTGATCATCCATTGCACCATCGCAGCACCTCGTCTTGTCTCCTCTTTGTTAGCGTTGTTTTCGCTGGATCCACTTGTGAACTTTGTGTGGACCTCACCGGCAAATATTATAGTTCAGTCAACCTTAGCTGAGTTATTCATAGTGAGTGGCTCATCTTGTGTCGTGAGGTCGCTCGGATACCCCCTAACATAGTATCCCAAGAGAAGCTTTCCGACCTCGTTTTATACGAATAATTCGTCAATCGAATGGTCTTGATGTTGTTAAGTCATCAAAAAATACCTGGAACACCCCTGCAGACTTCGGAGGCGGTAAGGCCCTCCAATAGTACCAGCCCCTTAACCGCCTTTACCTTTAATACGATCGGAAGAGAGCCGTCTTTGCTCAAGCGCATCAGTACTGAATCACAGGAGGACCTTCAATATCCTTCTTCCCCGGTTACTCCCTCCTCTTCTAGTCGTACTATGCAAGAGACACACACTCGCTCCAGACCGTCATTATATGACTTGTTGAGCCCTTCAAACATTTCCACCGAAAATTCAAACGACCATTCAAGCCATTCCATCGCTTCTCCTGCCATTGCCACCACAACTATCGAAAGCATTATGGCTGTCCGGGACGGCGCTCCCGTCTTGACGGGACTTCTATCTGCTGAGAGCTCTGCCACTTCCCCAAATTCTCCTAACACTCTTTCACCCTCTCACTCCCGAGCTGGAAGCCATCTCCCCCCTATTTCGCAAGCAGACACAGAGTCGCGCGTTGCCTTCTCCGACCGTGTCGCATCATCTGAGTCGAGTCCAATTACTACGATTCTTCCTGTGGACGAGTCACATTCCAATATGACCGCGGGAAGATCAGCCACTGCGATGCCTTCAAGTGGAAGTTTTTCCCATTCTCCTCAAGAATCGCGATCCGCTGCAACAGATCTCGTTTCGCTGATATCTGACGTAGCTCTTGAGAGAGCCGAGTGGACTGAGCTCGTCGGTCTCGTTAATCGCTTTCATGCGGAACATGAAGAGTATCTTCATCGGAATGAGGAAGCTAACCGGGCGCTGTTGCGGGAACGAGAACAAGCATCCAAGATGTTCGCCACGGTTACATCTGCCTTTAATCGACTCGATCTATTGCGGACGAAGCAAGAACGGCGTTTTGAGCTTCAGCAGCAAGATGCTCAACGTGCCTTACGGCAAAAGCTACTCGATGATGAGGCTGAGGTCGCGCGCAAAGAGGCTGCCGAGAGGCAGCGACGGGTTAAGGCCCAGGAGGCCGAAAGAAGGGTCGCTCGCGATGAGGAATTGCGCAAGAACGCGGAAGAGCACGAAGCGCTACTGAGAGCTACAGAAGAAAAAACGCGCAAAACTGCTGCGGAGGAAGACGCAGTAAGACGTAAGGCCGAGGAAGACGTAGCTAGATGTAAGGCCGAGGAAGACGCAGCTAGATGTAAGGCCGAGGAGGACGCACGGCGCCAGGCTGCCGAGGAGGAAGAGGCTAAGTGCAAGCTGGCAGAAGAGGAAGAGGCTAAATGCAAGCTGGCAGAAGAGGATAGCGGACGAATTGCTCAAGAAGAGATGCTTCGTAAAGCTGCTCAAGAGGCTCAGCACGCTGAAGAGGCCAAAGTTTTCGCGGCTGAACAGGAAACACTCAGGAAAGAAGAACTGCAGCGTGCGCAGTACGAGGCAAATAGAGCCAGAGTTGCTGCGATGAAGCGAAAGGCTACTGAAGAAAACGCAGCGAGAGCTCGTGCTCAGCAAGAAGAGAAGAAAGCGCGTCCGCCTAAGGAAGAGGTTAAGGCAAGGTTAGAGAAGGAGAAGAAAGAAGCTCGCTCTCGATCCTCGGATACGCCTGTACTTGGTACAGGGCCTATTCTTGGCGATGCAACCGGGCTTATGCCCCAGGAGCGTACTCCCCCTCAAACGTCTTATGGACACATCACGACGTCGCGAGATGAGATATCTTTACGTTCAGCTCAATCTGCCACCAAACCTCCTACTCAATCCTTAACACCTTCCACATCGCATACGGGAGCATCGACTTCCGATACGCTGCAGTCTTATTCTTATCAACATTCTCCTATCACTGCCGTTCCGACTCTTCACCAATCCGACCATCCACACGTGTCTCCTGCAACGGCTGACAATGGCGTAAAGAGTCTCGCGGTCTCTTTTCCGACACAATCCGGATCCGATATGGAGATTTCGAAGCGTGATATTCCAGTTGTGAAGGCGGAGGTCGTTACTCCGGTTTTGCCCAAGAGTACTAAGATCAAAGGTACGACCCAAGTAGTACCACTGGAGCCTCTTATAATTAAGAGAGAGCCATCTCTTGATGATGAGCCGTTCAACAAGCCGGCATCTCTTACTCCTCCATCTTCGAACCCTTCAGGTCGCCCTTCTCACATTTCCCCCATCCTCACGCTCGCAGCACCGCAACGAGCCTTTGACAGTCAGCCTATTCCCGCCACAGCTTGTGCATTGCAGGGCGACAGAGGAGACGTTCATCAAGCTGGTCCTGCGGGTACTTCGCGCGTGAACGCACCAAACTATCATAACGTCCGTGATTCCGACAGTCGCAGTTTGACTCATGGAAATATTGCTGGCATATCTAGTCGACCTCTTGCGCAGAGACTATCTGGCGAAACTCAAAGTGAACAGTCACAAGTAGCCTTTGACGCTGACGTCGCTGGTATTCGAGGCCAAAAGTCAATTGCATCGCCTCAAATTAGAGCACCTGCTCAGGAGGCACGCAAAGCGCAATCCAAACTTCCTCCTCGACCCGCATATAACCACCGTGTTGTGCAGCCACCTGTGCCATCTTCTAACCAGGAGCAGATGCGACGACAGTATGATCACTATTCGCCACGACGGCCCGTCGCAGCCAAGGAAGGCTCTCCCGGAATCGGAAAGCGTAACAGAGCCAATGACGCATGGGTTTCCGATGAGCCTCCTACTCGACGAGCGAGGGTATCTTCTGAAGAAGACTTTCCTCGCCGTTGGCCAGTAGATCAAGATTTGCGACCTGGACCATCGGCACACCATGACGCTCGGGCTAGATTTCCTCAGCACACGGATTATCACCCCAATGAACATGTCGATACAGCCGTACCTGGCTACTATGAACGCGTCCAGCCTTCCGATTATGATGCGTACCATGCTGACCGGGATTGGTATCCCCAATCCACGATACAAGACGATCACCTTCGTGCTATACCTGGACCTACGACTCGCCACAATCCTGAGCGAGCTGCAATACATACCCCAGAGAGCCCTAGAGCCAGAGACTCTTACAACCACGAGCAGCCTTCGACACTCCTCGCTCGTCTTACTAGCGGCAATCAATCATCCCGCTACGGTGTACCTGCCCGAGTGGCAAAGAATGGCAATCGCAATAGACAGTCTCCGCCGCGCGCACCTCAGCGCAGCCGCGGCGCAGCTCCGGTCTCAAAGCGAGGCCATGCTTCTACAAAACCCGTCGGAAGGCAGCAGCAACAATCCCACCATCTTGGATTGGAATCTCGTCTGTCGGAGCGCTGAACTTGGACTGATTTTGTCTTACTGGTTATATCTGCTGCCTGTGGTGCCAAGCGTACTGGCCAGTGTGCAGTCTCCCACGGTAATGTGAGCTAGTGAAACACGTGTGGGTCATGAGACAAAAAGTGTATTGCAGTCTCAATATTCAGGCATGAATCCGATGTACATATAATGCTACAGCAAGTGTTCATACAATCGCAGATGCGGAATCCTTAACTCGCACCGCAGATTGTCAGCTCCTTCATTTCCTGCAAAACGCCCTCAACCTACAAATCTATTAGAATAGTATCACCCTACGCAAATAATACCCGATCTCACCTGTGCGTCAAGCTGCCCTGCCGCGTAGTCGTCTCGGACATTATCAGCAAAGTATCTGTGGTCATCGTCATAAGCATAGGCATAACTTAATTGCAATACGAGGCGCACCTTTGAACGCCGCTAAGTTTCTCATAACCCTCTTCAGCAAATTTGCACTGCATTCGAATCATCGCCTCAAAGCTGGGATCAAAAAATGGAACACGCAAATCGAGCAACTGAGGGAGCTCGGCGATGAGCTGTTCGTTCAACATATCGAAAACCTCCTTGGCATCGTCGTGCTCTTGCTGTGCCTAAGAGGAAAAAGTATGTAGTCAGTGTCATTGATGTCAACAACGGCGAGGATATAAACGACCTTTGGGAGCTTGGTCGGATCGTCACTTGGCTTCTGAATGAGCTTATTCATCCGGCTACGGGCAGAATCGTAGTCTAAGAGCTGTTAGAGTCTCGCTGTCTCAAAAGGTTGATTCAGTAATTGATCGAATGCGGCGCACCTTCTTGTTGCGTTTCGAAATATGCTCATTCACCACAGGGAAATATGCATTCATTTTACCGAGAGGTTCCATGACGGTCGTCCTGTAGGGCGCATCCTATCCCACATTCAGCTTAGAAACATCTAAGACGATGACACGGCCTACCAACTCCCTCCCCACACCAGTGTCAAGGTCATCCACCGCACGCTTGTACGCATGCGCAGCCATGGCGCCCTCCGAATTCTTGTCCGCTGCACCGTAGAAGACATCAATCGTATCCGCAAGCCGACCTTGCGCGGCAGTCATCGCTTCCATGCAAGTAAGTGAATGAAATCGCACGAGGACGTAGGCGTTAGAGACACACCCCGCATAGCATCGAGATACCCCTTGCTATCTTTCTGCAGGGCCTGGCATTCTTTCTCATATCTGCGACATTATCAGCGGGTTGGAGAGGCACTCGATTACCCGAGAGACAAGACACTGAAAGGGGGGATGACTACTAACGTCTTGTACTTTGCCTCCTCATCGGCGAAATCTCTGTCCACAGTGCGCTCAATTTGACCAGTCTTTTGTAGGAGCTGCAGGAGAGTGCGTATAAGACTAGCGATGTGTGCAAGTGACCGTCAGGGCCGGTTGGGATAATGCGTACCGTAGTCCCCGCTCTGTTCATAGATTTCTTGAACCTACACCAGGCATCTGGATGAGGCCCACGAATGGCTTACAAGCATCGACACAAACGCACCCAGACCAACTCATTTCGGGCAGCGATGACAAAAGTGGACGGGTGTCGGCAAAATTTGGCAGGACGTCAGTGGCAAGCTGCAGTGCGGCAAAGCCCTCTGGTGAGTCGTGACAGTCGGCAGCGCCGCGGAGCAAATCGCACGTGATGCCCTATGCGATTCATTCGGTTCTGTCGCTTTCTGCGACACCGCGACGGTCCGGGTGAACTGGGGAGTATTACTTAGTACTAGTTAAGTATGTAATATTATGCAAGCAGCATAATGGCTCGGAAGATACTGGAACCCGCTCGCAGAGGCACTCATGATCACTAAGTGCTGGCCGTATAGGTGTGTAATAGCTTGCGTACACTCGGCATGGAGTCTAGTAACATACGATCATCATCGGTTCGGAGCGCATTCGTTGTTATGCTGCCAACTTGGTCGCACCGGTCTTGTGTGCAAAGGTTCACAACGGAACATGCATCTATTGCACGACTCTGCATTGTTGTCCGTTTGGTTGTCCTGTGTGAGGGCAACGTCAACCATAGATATGTTGATGTGGTTGCGGACTGTTTGACACGGCCCGGAGCGCAACTGTCGGCAAATTGTTCGTGGACGGCGCGACAGGTGATTTTGGCTGATTTGAGGGTGTCTCAGTGGGTGTCCCGGTGGGTAGTATGCCGGGTGTACAGGAGACGATGCAGAGCACACGAGGACGGTACAAGTCCCCGACCGTGACGGGAGGCTGTGGCCGGCCGAGCACACACACGTAGATAGTCGTCTGAGATTAGCGAACTTGAAGAAGGCTCTTCCCAAACGTAGTACAAGGGCGGACAGCACACGTGGCTGTTGTCGCCCAGCTCCCTCTCATATCCTCCGCCCATTGTCTTTACCCATGTTCTCTCTCTCTCCCTCCTAAATCGCCCCAGGCTCCTGCCCACTGCCCTTCATGTCCCGCTCCTGCAACAACTCCCTCGCCTCAAGCTCTGTCCGCAGCAAGCCGTCACTGTCCATCGCCTATCGTCGTGAAAGCGTCCCTCGACTCGACCCTTACCCGCAAACCGCCATACCATTTTTCTACGGCGACCTCGTTACCCATCGAGCTCCCCTAGCGACTCTCGACCCACAATCGGCGCACGCCATTCGTCTTGCTGCTGACGATCAGATGTCAACGTCTCCATCGCCGCCACACCTTGGTTACCGCGACACCACACCGGGCACAGCACAAACATTCGAGTCTGACCACACCGGAGATCTATTTCAGTATAACATAATCCGTTCTATTCGTAATGTCAACGATGACCTTGAGGCAGGCAATCCTCCGGCCAGAAGGAGATCAATCCCAAACCAGTACGCTCGTTTTTGATGTGCTGCGCCATTATGCCGATATTTGTCGTCCTTTTAGCTCGCAAACACACTCCATTACCGGACGTCCGCTTCCAGGTCACACTCGCCTTTCTTCCCGCCGTCCCAGTCACAATTCCGTGTCATCCAACAGACGACCTTCCCTTCCTACGATCCTGCTTCCGCCTCCTCTACGTCCTGAAGCGACATCTGGTACTAACCCAGCTGTCGAGTCGCTCCCTAGCGCTAACTCTTTCCTGTCTGGCGCTGATGATCTCTACTCAAATTTATCTTCCTTCACCTTTGGCTCTGCGCGCCCTAACCGTCCCGAATTTCTCGAGATGATCAGTCCCTTAAGTTCTGTTCCTGGTTCGAACAGCACAGATCGGACTCCCCGCCCGTCGGTCTCCGGGGCTGGCTCTCAGTCAACGACCCGGACACGTACGCCAAGAGTCCGACCCATGGACATGGACGACGGCTGCAGGGCGGATGATGAAGCTGACGATGAGGCCGAGCGAGAATCGCGTGCGAAGATGCGCGCCATGAATGATGGCACGCGACGACCCTCTCTTCCTATGAACACATATGCTACTGGTAGGTCGAAGTCACCCAGAGGACTTCCTGGTACTGGCGCATCGCCTTCCTCAGTGTCTCTAAAATCACCTGTCAATCCACGAGAAGGCACACGAGATCATTCCGAATCCGAATCCGAGGCCAGTGCCCACTTTGGTATAGAGGGTGAGGGCAACGATTTTGATACAGATGTCGAGATCGACTTCCCTCACCCCTCGACCGCTGTGGCTTCTCATGATGCTGAAATGACGGATCTTACGTCTTCTGGTGCCTTGGGTAGAGAATTCAACCTCAACGATTCTAACGGTGAGAAGGATCACGATTTCGCCGACATTCCTGTCATCGTAACCCACCCTGCCATTGAACCCGGCCCAAGTAGAGGTCGAGAAGACAGCCTGGCAACATTGACTGGGGCTATTAAGACTCCCACCGTTTTGCCATCCGGTGATACTCACAGTGGTCTCACTGCTGATGCAAGCAGACCGGAGGGTCGGGACAACATTCAAGGGACCCGTCTTGAATCGATAGGCCAGGCCTTGTTGCAAGTGTCTTCACCCACTTCAGTGGTTCCTGCCGATGAACTCAACCTTAACTTGTCTGACTGGTATAAGGGGCATGCGATCGATTCTGAAGGCTGGGGTGCCGCCACCACCGGGGATACTGGTCGTCGGACCAGTATAATGACGGTTGGGAGTATTGATGCGTTCATACGGCATGTGCAGCAACACGATCCAGTGTCTAAATCACGCGCCGTAGAATGGAGTTTCATGCCGAAGTCTGTGGACACGCCGAGCGCGGACGCCGGTGCGCGTTGGGCTCAATCTCATACTGCAACAAGGGCGATCGCACCTCCCACCCAAGAAACATGGCAGCAAATGCATGTAGGTCAATTCAAAGTGGACAGACTACTGATGAGACGTAAGTGTTAAAAATCATTATAGAGACAAGTCGATCTGACACGCTCTCGCGTAGCCGATGACCCTTCAAAGTCTCCTTCGCAGCGCATTAATGTACGCCATATACATGATCCCCATTCAAAAGGAAATACGCGCGGCGGTCCCGTATCTGTCGTGCACAAGCACTCGCGTGCCATTGCTTTCTCCATTTTTCGCAAGTACAACCTATTCGGCAACCAACAAAATCGAAGTGGAAGTATCTCTGTTCCAACAAGTGGGAGTATATTGCTTGCAACCAGAAGGGTGCAGGAGCAGTATACTAGTACTCGTACGACTAGTCAGCTCAACTCCCATGGACTATTGCGAGATGGTAGCGCCCGTTCACGAGGACAGACCAGCAGCGCTAGCGATGGCACCGCTCCTTCCTCGAGTCAATCCGACCGCAGCCAGTCTAAGGATATCACGGACACAGAGAGAGTCGCGAAAGAGAAGCGTAGCAAAAGCAAAGCCTCGCCTTCGGGTTATCAGACGAGCAGCGCCGGAAGTGTTGAAAGCACGTCTAGTAGGATGGTTTCTTCGAAGGACGAAGATTCACTCTATTTCGCAAAGAGTTACGCGTCTTGCTCATCATCTTCCGAGCCCTCGGCACCTGTTTCTCCAACAATCGCAGAAACTGGCAACACTTACCCCTCTTCTGTTTTTGATTCTGCGACATTAGCGCGCCATTCTCTGGCTGGTCCATCCTACTCAAAATATGGTTCTCCTCCTCCAACCGCTTCTACTGAGCGAACCGCTTCCGTTGACCATGGCATGGATGTCGACGATGACGGAGAGAGGGTACAGCGTACTTCTCATGCGGAGGCATTTGCTACCCTCGACCAGAACAGCATCGACTACTATCGCGGAAAACCAGACCAACGCTCGTCTGATCACGATCCCGCTCACACTTGGGGCTTTACTGAGCGTTTGAGAAAACTGTTAGGTCCGAGCGGCGCCCGGGTTCGACCTGGCTTGGGCCTGTCTTCTGCTGCGTTGGAGGGACAGTACACTCCGCCTTGGATGACTATGGCGCCACGTTCACGAGTAGAAGAGCGCGATCGGGTCATTCAAAACTTGAATGAGTCTTTCAAGGATGTGGGCCTGCTTCCGTCTTTCAAAACCAAGGGCATTGGGAAGAAGAAAAACCGTACGACGGATGAGGTAGTCAATATCTTCTCTCACGTTCCTCCGGATTCATTGTACATGATCCTTCCGCTGTGGCCCTGCGAGACAGACCCGGCGTCTAGGGCGTTGACCGATGCTGCAGACCCGTTGCCCGTCGAAGAGCGACAGTACCTACTAGTGTTCTACGCCCCATTTGACGACAAGGATGATAAGGACAAAAAGCAGGAAAACAAAAAACGGACAAGGTCGGCCTCACGCACAGCGTCCGCTTCAGCCTCATCTGTCAATTCCAAGACGGTCTCACTCACATCCTTCAAGATTTCCGCGCGGCTCGTCTCTTACCATGATCTCCTGGGCACCGGTGTGCGGCTCCCGATCGACGGATTGTCGGTGACGGGCCCCATGTCCGACGCGATGAAGTCGCTTCCACCCCCTGACATACGCGATGCGCGTCAGGATATGCCCCGCGTCGTGATCGGGTACTGCTATGGACGGAACCATGGCATGGAATTCCTCCCCGAAGGTCTCGCGAAGGTCGGCCTCGCGCGCGTGAACGATTCCTCTACGCGGCTACTGAATGATGCGGCCCCTTGGCTCTCCGAGGCGGAGGAGATTGAGCTTAATTGGGAGATGACTCCCATTGGGCGCGCCGCGGTAGAGATGGCATGGCTGGGGTGTCTAGCAATGACGAGCTTTGGACCGGAATCTGTAGCTTCCAGGTGAATAATCACTTTTGCTTACAAGTATAACGACAATGACTGCACCCAAATGTCTCCATAGCTCGATTACATATATTCGTTCCTCTCATAGGTCTTACAGTATAATGGGAGCTTTCTCCTCAATACCCTTCACATCTGTATAAATTGTCTCCACTGTCTCCGTATACGTTCCGCACTAGTGTTTGACTACCATTTACGCTGATTTACGGAGTAGATTTTGTATGAATATTCGCACCGTCGCAGATGTAGCGTTCGGTAACCGACCTAGTTCGTTCAGAATATGCTTATAAGCCTGCCAAAGGTTTTATGATAGTATCCGATATAAACACGGTCCAGGGATACATGGAGCGATATACAAGCTACAGGAGAGTGAGGTATATTATAACAAATCAGATGGAACATCACGTCATAAACAAACAAGTACAGCAGAACACTTGAAAATATTACATGCTCTGATAGCAACCGCAAAGTTGGTCTATAAAAGAATTATGCGCATAGACCCTCGTCTAAGAGGGCTCCGCAGCGTGCGCACTGCACCTTGCGGTCCAGCAAACAACAGCCAACTCCTAGTGGGAACCAGAAGATAGCAGCGAGGATCCCTGATAGACGTCAGAAACGTGGTAAGCTCATGTTACCCTCATATGGATCGTAGCATTCTGCTCACCAAGGATACCGAACTGGACACGCGGTACATGTCCGCCCTGCTGCAGGCAGATCATCTGCGGGTGGTCCGGTGGAAGAAGGGACACGATGTGCTCGTGCGTGATCGGGTTCACGTAGTTGTACACGGTCGTTGAGGGCATGGAGGGCATGCGGGGGGCAGGCCCTGCGGGAGGAGTAGTGGACGGCTGTGGGGGGACTTTGACATTGTCCGCTTTGCTGGTGCCCTCGGGGACGAAAGGCCCGGAGGCTACAAGGCGATCAGAGCATGAAGGTAGCTAGGAGCAGAGAATGGACGCACAGGCTTCCCGCATAGCAGCGTCATACGAAGGCGGTGCTTGCATGTTCTGGTTGCTCGAAGCCTGCAAAGTAGCAAGTCCTGGTAAGCGAGGCCTTTCTGCGTATAAGGGACAGGGCGAAGCGCACCATTTGAGAGGTGTTGGGGTCAAGGATCATGGTCGTGTCGGGAGCAAAAGGCGGCGGGTTAAGTAGGGCGGGCTGCGGTGGAGATGGCAGTACAGAGGCAAGCCCAGTCATTGCGCGGCTCGGGCTGCGCTTGGAGCTGCGGCCGGGCCAACTAGCGCCCGCCGACGAATTCGATCGATGATGGCCACGTGTTTCTACTTTCTCTCCTCCAGATCACGTGCATTGTGCTTTTTCTTTTGCCGAGTCGAAGCCGTAGTGGCCTTGTGCCTCTCGTCCTCTGCCTCTCGAACAAATTCTCCTCCAAGCAGATCTTCACGCGCAGTCTAGCCGTTTCCACTAACAATCATGCAGAGTGCAGGCCCTTCGTCGTCAGGTGCGCAGCCGATGCAGGAGGATACAGTCTCGGCTGAGGATATGACATCTAGAGACTAGTATGTTCTTTTTTTCTCAGTCACGAACTGCGACGCATCCGTGATAGAAAATTGTCATACATGCTCATATATCCATACGTCTAGTTATGCCGACTCGTATGCTCATTTCGGTGCGTGTGATCTCATTCACGAGTAGTACACTGAGCAATATCTAAAGTCGCCTCTTTCGTGTTTTTCTTCTTTCAGGCATTCATGAGGAGATGTTGAAAGACACTGTGCGGACGGGCTCATATCGCAATGCAATAATCAACAATCCGCATTTATTCAAGGGCAAGACCGTCCTGGACGTCGGCTGTGGGACCGGCATCCTGAGTATGTTCGCCGCCAAGGCCGGCGCAAAACACGTTGTTGGGGTATGCGCGTTGATATGCTTATCTGGATTGCGGCCAATTTGACCCTGATGGCGTTGTTAAGATCGATATGTCTAACATTATTGATCAAGCCGTCAAAATCGTTGAAGCCAATGGTTTCAAAGACAGTATGTCCTTCCCTGTTTTCTCCAAGAATTTTGCATATGATGCGAGTATCCTCCAGCTATTACACTTGTGAAAGGAAAATTAGAAGAGGCGGAACTGCCTTTGCAAGAATTCGACATCATCATCTCAGAATGGATGGGCTACTTCTTGTTGTATGAATCTATGCTCGACACTGTACTTTTAGCCCGGGATCGGTACCTCAAACCTGGGGGGCTCATCTTCCCCGATATTGCCACGCTCTACATTGCGGCTATCGAGGACTCCGAGTACAAAGAGGAAAAGATAAATTGTGAGCATACTTTCGATAATGATCACATTTACAAGATGCACAAACTGACCGCGTTCATTGTCAGTTTGGGATAATGTTTACGGTTTTGATTACTCATGCATCAAAGACATCGCATTGCGAGAGCCATTGGTAGACACAGTTGAGCTCAAAGCCGTCGTAACGGATCCTTGTTTGATTAAGGTCTGTAAATTGTTCCATACCGTGATTTCTCACGTATGTATGTTGACATATTCGTAGCACATCGATCTGCGCACTGCCAAGAAGGAGGATCTCACTTTCACCGCGCCATTCTCGCTAAACGCGACAAGGAATGACTGTGCGTAATTTACATGCTGCTGGCTGAAGAGTGTAGGTTACATCTTGCTTCAGATGCCCATGCTTTCCTAGCATGGTTTGATATTGCTTTCGATTGTACGCATACCAAAGTCAAGTTTTCAACTGGCCCTCATGCCAAATATACCCACTGGAAGTGAGTGATCTTGCCAAGACGTCGAGCCGATCTGGTGGGCCTGATGCACGTTGGCAGGCAAACTGTATTCTACACACCAGACACTATCACCGTGTCAGACGGGCAGGCGATCAAAGGACGACTGTCGTGTGCGCCAAACGCCCGGAATCCTCGTGACCTGGATATCGCCATTGCATACCAGACAGAGGGGGAGCCTGAGACGGAGATACATTACAAAATGTGCGTGGCGCCGTCCGATGTCTCCTTCCCGAATCCACCCCATCTTTTGGATGGAATGCTGACCGGTTGTCAGGTCGTGATTCATTCCCCGCACTGTTCGCGTCTGCTCCGCGCCAATATGTTTTCCCACTATGTCGCCTGCAGGTACTAGAGCTGTGTAATGCCCGTGATGAATGGGCTCTGGGGTCGCGGAGAGACAAATTGCAGCGGAGCGAGCATTAGATACATGAGCTGTATTCACAATGGTGCGGATCGCGATGCCGGCCGGTAGTGAGTTCGGTGACTCAGTGTACGTGAATGAGGTAGAAATGAGGATCGCATGTTGGGCCGCGAGTGCACGAGACGATTGCCAAAGACGACGGGTCCGGGTGGCCAGCGAGGGTGGCTGTTTGTCCGAGGGCGAGTGCCAACTGTTCGGCTTCACTGCCAATATAATGTCGCATCCGCTTCCTGCGTCTCTTCCTTCCTTCACCTCGTACCACTATGCAACATGCCCTCTCCCTAACTCCAGTCTGCTCCCTCCTCGCCTGGCCTCGCCCCCGTCGTTCTGCTGCGTCTCTCCAGTCTGTTCCAGCCGACGTCCTCTTCGAGATCTCTTCCTACTTCACCACGCTCTCTGATGTCGTTCATCTGAGTCTCACTGTAAGACATCAGCTCTGCCGCTCTCCTGATCACGCCTGTTGACCTCACCCAGTCGCGGAAAGTTCACTCGAAAGTCATCGCTGCCGTTTATGGATCAGTCGAGCTTCAGGGTCCTGCGCAGTGCGAAGCCACCTTATGCATGCTACAGCGCTGCCCTGACATTGCGCGGCACATCCGCAAGCTTGTCGTGAGACCGGAGAAGCAGCCCGGCGGCTCTGCCCAGCAGCACGTCCGCGCATGGGACAATGCAGGCACTATCTCCCGCGTCGTTGTCGCCATCGCGCAGTACCTTGATGCACTACAGGTATTCGAGTGGGACGGAGAGGACATGCTCCCGGACGATCGGATGTGGTCATTCCTCCGGACGTGGTGAGCCCTCCTTTCCCTCTTGCGACAGATCACAGTTCGCATTGAGAACTTCTTTTACAGCTGTCCCAACCTGCGCGAAATAGGAACCACCTTTGGTTGTTTCTTGCCCAATCCCGGGAGCAATGTGAGCGGCTTTCATTTCCCTCCTGCTTGGCACGTCATAAATGCGATGAATTTCATACAGTTGTTTAAATTCAACAACCTCGCGGGGTTCTCGCTCATTTTCAAAGACGGCTTCTATGCACATCAGCTGCATGTGCCTTCGCGCGGTATGTCTGTCGGAGCGATGCTCATGATCACCACTGATGTTCTGCCCAGAGAGTGAACCGGTATTTAGTCGCCTTTGGGACATGCTCATCCAGCAATGTCCTAATCTCGAGTCCCTTGCGATCTCGGGGACATCTGCTGAACCGTCTGACGCCGCACGGCTCCCCACCGCTTACTGGCCCTGTCTCCGCGTGTTGACCGTCGGCGATGTCGTCTTTGGTTTGTCAGTCCCGCTCAATGCTCCCCCCTCCCACCCCTTCCTCCGCTTCCTAGCCCGCCATCCTAACCTAGAAGGTTTGCATATCCTTGGTCGTCCGAACGTCAGCCCCCTTGATCTTGTAGAGCTTGATGCCGAGACGCTACCGCGTCTGACAGAGTTCACGGGCTCGCTGGACCATCTGAGGGCTCTCATACACCGAGGGCAGGGTGGTGTGGGGCTAGCTAATGTTAACGCCATAATGCAGTGGAATGCCCCGCAAGTACCAGCTCACCCTACAGGTTCCTCGCCGCTTTCAAAGACATTGCAGTATGTCTGCTTCCCGGAGCCAATGCGATTGCGAGAGCTCACACCGCTCGCTATATCACGGGTCCTGTTGGAGCTCTCCGCTCTTACGTCGCTTAAGATAACTTTCGCGTTGCACAGCGGATACGACAGTAATGGTGTCTTCCGCACCATCATCGCGTCATGTCCGCAACTGCTACACCTGGATCTGACGTGCACCTCGAAGCCGTCCTTCTACCTAGTAATTCTCCTGCCGTCGATATCCTGTCTAGCTATCCTAACACGTTCTATCTAGGAATCATTCTCTCGCTCTCTCCGTCGATTGACGAGGCTGTCCACGTTGCAGCTTACCATCGTCAGGTTCCACGGCGAGGAACCTTTGCATGCGGGTGCTGCGCGCATTGCACTCAGCAATCCACGACTCACCCAGTTCTCCATTTCTTATATCCCCCCGCATACGCCCGCGCTGCCGCTTCCACCGCGGCTCGAAAGGGGCACGTTCGACCTCGTCTGCGACGCGCACGGTATTCCTATCAGCCTGTACGTCAGTGAATGGCGCATGATGCTCTGTGGTGGTGACGGAGGCGGGTTTGTCTGGCGTGGGATCGTCAGCATTGGGATGCTGCTTGGTATCGGTGTTGGGACCGGCTGGCGTCCGGTTGCAGACGGGTGGTCGCGTCGGTGGACATGCGAGCTGCGCCCGAGCGGGCACCCGGACGTGGCAAGGAAGGGGCTGCTGGAGCTACTGTGTGATCGTAGCCCAGCAGGCGAGGATGCACGCCTTCTCGCATTCTGTTTCGGCCTCCTCCTGTTGGCATTATGGGGGATGGCCCGGAGGGCGTCTGGGTAAGTTATTTTGTTGTCGCATTCATTGACTGTACATGCAATACGCCATAGGATACTTGTAGAACTGTAGATTATAATTGCATTGCGGCTGGAGGTTGTTGTACTCTATACACGTTTAGTACTGCTCAATTGTTATGTGGATGTCTAAATGTTTGTTATGATGCTGAGAGCTGTAGGCTGCCTCAAAATAATGGGGATATCTTGGAGACTTCCATTTTCGGAATTCAGCCCATAGACTGACAGCTTGAGTGGCGCAATTTTGGGCGACGTTCTGCGCCGGGGAATAAACTGATGAATATATTCGGTTTTAATGAAGCAACAACTGTCGAGTCTATGACGCAGGACATGGAGGCGGTGTCGATCAGTGCGGGCCCATATAAGGCAACGTAAGTTCGCGACGGACAGTTCAAATGTTCGTTCGTCCCACTCTGCGCACATACAAGAGCTGCTTCTACCACACTCCATTCTTCCGTCCTCCCTATAACCCATACATGCAAGCCACATTCAACAAACTTACGGGGAATCACGAGTACAGTCAAGCTGACGTGCCTAGCCTCCAAGGCAGAGTGAGTCGCTAATCCTTAAACATGAACTTGAACCATACTCACCATTCTACCTAGACCGCGCTTGTCACAGGGGGCACCGTAGGCATTGGGCTCGAGGTCGCCAAAACCCTCGTTCTTGCCAAGGCCCGGGTCCTGCTCCTCTCCCGCAGGACCGACAACGCAGTGAACGCAATATCTGAGATCAAAGCGTCCTGCGACCCCGATGGTTCTCCTGTTGATGTGAATTTCATCCAATGTGATCTCGGTAATCTGGAAGAAGTCAAGAAGGCAGGAGATAAAATTCGGGAGGAGGAAGAACGACTTGATCTCGTGCGTTGGTTTCATACTCATACACATGCCGAATTGCGGCTTACTGTATGTGCGCATATAGCTTATCTGTGATGCCGGTGTGGGTGTTAACAAGTACGGCGTCTCTGCCAACGGCGTCGATCGCCACTTTGCTGTAAATCACCTCGGGCACTTCCTCCTGACGAACCGTCTCCTGCCCTTGATGAGGCGCACCGCTGCGCTCCCGGGCACGCCCGCCCCGCGCATCGTCTGCGTCTCTTCCTCTCTTCATCAATCCGCGCCGGCTTCCGTACGCTTCGCCTCCGTCGACGAGCTCAACGAGGACCTCGGGCCCATGGCGCAGTATGGGCGCAGCAAGCTCGCGAACATCCTGTTCGTCAAGTACGGCCTTATCGAGCGTGCCTTTGGACATGGTAACGACCACATGCTCGCTCTCGCCACCCACCCGGGCGCAGTGCATACGGAACAGCAGGAGCAGTTCAAAGAGGCGTATGGTATGGTTGCCGGAACCGCGCTGAAGAATGTCGTCACACCGTTTATGCGCTCGCCAAAACAGGGCAGCCTAAGCACACTCTGGGCAGCAACATGCGAGGAGGTCGAACAACATTCGGGTGAATGGAACGGTCGCTATATAACAGATCCCGGGCAGGCAAGCAAGGAAAGTAGCATGGCGTGCGATCCTGAGCTAGGAGCCAATCTCTGGAACCTAAGCGAGCAATTGGTCAGGGAGAAGTTAGGCGATAATGGTTTGCTTTCCTGGAAGGATGATCAGTCATAAGTGAAAAATAGGACAGGAAATTGTACTTAGAACCTGAGGTTGCATTGTATACCATGGATTTGTAGCCGTAGAGATGCCTGTAGAGAACAATTGTCATAGAATCGTAATTTGCGAGTTGAGACGGTCTGAATCAGGCAATAAGAAACGAAATATGGTCACACAATTGTGAATGCTACAATAAATGAGCACGAAAACATGCATTCTTTTTGAGGCTACAAGTAGTGACCAACACATACAAGACACCCATCCACCACCTCCCTAGCAGCAAACCCACGTCCAGCACCAGTTTTATGTGGTATGAAGTCATCACGATACAACGGTCCAGACACGGACCATGTCATCGGTGAAGCCACCAAAGAGCGTCTGACCATCAGCGGACCATGAAATAGAAACACATTCAGGTTCCCGCGAGCCTGTGCTCTGCGCAAAGTCGGGTTTGAGCTCATCGACGATCGACCTAAACGAACCCGTCAGACAATTGCACAGCTGACGTAGTTCTCAGAATGACGTACTTGCTCTCCAAGTCGAAGATCTTGATGCAGGTTGCCGTAGCCGCGCACAGCCAGTAGCGGTTCGGCGAGAAAACGAGAGCGTTGACGATGTCACCAGCCTCCAGCGAGTAGAGGTGTTTGCCCTCATTGAGATCCCACAGCATAGTGATACCATCCTTGCCCCCAGACGCAGCCAACGAACCGTCGGGTGAAACGGAAATAGTGTTGATGTAGCCAGTGTGGCCGTAATGGTTGGTCTTGAGCTTGAATTTCGAGAGTTCCCAGACCTAAGTCGAACGAAGTCAGTAAAAGTTATATAATGACATCAATGAATAGCAAGGTGAAGGTCAGAGATCTTGGTGATTAAAGTAGTCTCATTGGGAGGGACCCTCTGAAGTAGCAAATATATTCTAACATCATACCGAACGAACAACCGAGAACTAAGGAAAATGACTGGAGCGACCGAGCTCACCTTGACAACCTTGTCCCATCCACATGAGACAATGACGGGGTTCATGACGTTCGGGCTGAAGCGCACGCATGATACCCTAGTTTAAAGTGTTTGTGAGTCATTCACACGATGATACTAGCTCAGTAGACTATGCTGACCATTCAGTGTGACCGTCATCCTTGATATCATACTTGCATTCTCCTAGGGTATTCCATAGCTTGATCGACCTGTCGCGCGAACCAGAGACGATCTGCCTATTATCTGCGCTGAAGGAGACGGAGAGGACATCTGAAGTGTGGCCGACGAAGCGACGGGTGGTCACACCGGTGTTAAGGTCCCACAGGCGGAGTGTGTGGTCCCATGAGGAGGAGAGAGCGAATTGACCGTCGGAAGAAATCACGACGTCAGAAACGAAGTGGTTGTGGCCGTGAAGAATGCGTTTGGGATAGCCATATTGGTCATCGTCGCGAGTCAATTGCCAGACAATGATGGTCTTGTCTGCGCGAAGTTCAGTCAAGTCGACACGACCAAGGAGGTAGTAGCATACATACCGCGAGAGGCGGTCAGAATCATGTCCGGGTTCTCCGACGATGTGGCAATGGCGGTGACCCAGCCTTTGTGGCCGGCCATAGTACCGAGATAACGCAAAGACTCCATGGTGATAGATAATGTGCGGGGGAGCTTGCGGAGGGCGTCGGCGTCGTTCTCGAGCTACTCGTCGCTGTGCTACAATAATTAGTGGTCGGCGTGAGACGCGCGTGACAGCCACAGTGACTGGTACTATACAGCATCGGCAACTCCCAGATATTTTTAAAAGGACCAATCGGCGTTTGAGACATGTCGGTGTCGCGTCGGTGGCACAGACGCCTGCTGGCTCTAACTCTATCTGCTGCCCACACTCGTGTCTTATGCTCACAGAATATACGAAGCGGAGATAAGGCCCTTGTTTCGACTGTTATAGTGTCAGCGAGGGTGTCGTTTCTAGTTGGTGACGTGCTATGTGAACGCAACGTGAGTATTTTGGCTTGTGGTCTTCGTGTCACTTTACGTCCCGCTCTATGATGCCATTCCATATATTTGCTACTTCGGAGAGCTGTCGTTTCAGACTTGCCTCTATGAGACCACATTTTCCACCAAGATCTCTGAGTTTTCTTCTTTGAGATGAATCTCTTATTTATATATGCTAATCACTTCCGCATGTTTAGTTGTAGTGACGGTTGGGATCCTGCGACGTTGTATTGTTCAAGACGACTGTCGATTGTGCAAAAGGTTAGTATGTCGACTGAGTCTTATAATGTGTCTATACCTTCTTGTACGGCATTCTACTTGTTCAATCAATATCTGCATGCGTGGATATGTTTCAGCCGTTAAAGGCATCGTCACCGACCATATTCTAAGAGATTTTGCCAACGCGTCACGACGGATTGGACGCGTTGTGTCGCGGTCACGTGCAGCAATTCCTGGCGAGGATTTCTGAAATCTACTCACTGCATCGACAGAATCGAGCTTGATCTGCGTTGTCTCCAACTGTCTTTCAAGATGAAGATCCCCGTCATAAGTGAGACACTCCTTGCTGAAGTGTTGCATAATGCTGAGATTGCCCAAACTGATTTCAGTCGATACTGATCCCGGCGTCGATGATACTCTAGCAATGTGCGGGGCGTTGATTGTCTATCGTCCACTTCTGAGAGCGTGGTCATCTCTAGATTGTTGGCGTTGGCTTCTCCAGAGCTGGATGTACTAGCCATCATCGTCTCGTTTGGTGAGCTTCATGAATTGCGTAATTTTACCTTATCTAATCTGTACGACAGGCAATACTGATACTGAAGCCTCATAGTAAGTCTCTATAATCATAAATGGTACTGGTCTCACTGTGCACATCCACACAGTCTCAATATCTTCAAGTTGTACAAAGCTATCTCCCTCCATATCAAAAAGCATCCAGATGCTCAATCTCGTTTCCCTGGGTTTTCATCCTCCAGGAAAGTGATCCTTGCTCGGGGCGCGGAAGGTCCCCTTGAAGGAGACCTGCACAGCGCACAATATTTCCACGGCAGGTAAGTAGTTGCATAGTGTTTCAAGCCTGTTCGATCGTGATGCACTGTTTATTAGGGACGGTCTAGGGGGCATCACTACGCGCCATCCAGATCTCAGCTTAGAAGGGGACATTCCCCTCGAGCATCCACAACTACAAATTGTGGGGAAGCCGGGAGTCGAAGTGGCATTGGAGCTCATACGCTCGCAACCCGCACGCGCTGTCACCTATATAGCCCTAGGACCCCTCACAAATCTGGCGAAATTGGTCCAGTTGGACGAGAGTATTGTGCGAAGTCGACTTGGCCGCATTGTATGTATGGGCGGCGCTCTGGACGTGCCTGGTAACACAAGCCCAGTCGCCGAGTGTATGTACCAATGTCCATATCCGAGTGTGACTCTCCTTCTCATGCTGAACAGTTAATTTCTTCGCCGATCCATTTGCGGTCAAGGAATTGCTGGTCCCGACACCTCCAAGTCTCGGAATCCCACTCGAGCGATTCCTTCTCCTCCCTCTTGATATCACGACGGTTCACCAGCTGTCTTTTCCTTTCTACAAGGAGAGGGTGGATCCTGCCTTCGAATCGACCTCGAAGCCGTCGCAGCCAGAAGGAAAATCTGTGCTGACCCATTTCACGAGCTCGTTCCTGGAGCGCACGCGGGAGATCATGATCGAATTCGGGAACGATGCCATGGAGCTTCACGACATCGTAGCCGTTTGGTGCGCCATCGAGAACCCGCCAGTGGAAGTTGAGGCAGAAGGGGCGATCCCCACGCTTCGACCCGGGTGGAAGGCAGTCAAGCGAAAGTTCGAAGTCGAGCGGTATGTACTGAAATCTCTACCGTCACGACCCGGTTGCTGAAGACATTCACCAAAAGCACGGGGGAGTTGACACGAGGGATGCTGGTGGTCGATCGACGAGACGATGAAGGTGCCTACGCTCCAGGTTCTAACCGCGCTGAAGTTCAAGCAGAGCTCGAAAAGCATAAATTCATCCACTCCGGCATGTATGAGTCAACCGCGTTGCCGGCTCAAGTCGAGGTTGAGGAAAGTGCCCAAACAGATCCACTGCCTGGCCACCCATCCGGCGTGCCCGTTGTGTACGAGACACCTGGTCCTCAAGCACTAGTTCAACTAATGCTCGAGAGGATATGGGGGGTTGCAAATTGAAAGTTCGTGGGGCGATCGAACCCGCATGGGCTATGGTGACGCGCGTGCTCAAAATAAAATACCCGATATCAAGCCAGTAATATAGAGTTGACATGGGATGCTAGATTCTACAAAAACTATAGCTAGAATACAGTGTCATGGACAAGCCATTGTACCGAGGCGATGAACATCTAGTTCGTGTTCGGCAACATATACTATGCCAGTTACGACACAGACAGAATAAGAACATCTTTACTCTGTTATGATATTGCCTCTACTGCCTCTACATACTCTTCATCCCCCTTCTTCTCTTCCAGCGGAATTGGGGATTTTCTGTCACCGTCGGACTCAGACTCTAGATCCGTGTGCTTCTCTTTCGTTATATAGGACTCCTCAACAGTTCGGAAGCGGAATCCGCCTTTACGCGCCTGATCAATGACCATCCCACTGTGAACAAGATAGATCGGAACATCAGCGATGAATATGCATATCTTATCGCCGACACTTACACGGCATAAACGGTCATCGCCACATATCCAGTAAATGGAACGATGTATGAGTGAGCAGTGTTGGTGTCTGCGATGGAGCCTTGCGCAGGAGGGTACCAAGCACCGCCTCCAACACCCTATGATATGTGTGAGCTCCGTGCCGGAGATTGAGTGTGATGATACAGACCATTACGACAAGTCCGGAGCCCTTCTTTGTGTAGCGACCCAAATTTTTGGTAGCAAGGGTAAAGATGACCTGTGCTCAACATCAGGTTCGCAGCCCTCACCACGCAAGAAGACCACATACAGGATAACAGATAGATTCGAAAAAGAACAGCCCAAACAGACATCCCACACCGCCTCTTCCTGGCGCATACGCCGTGCCAAGAGCGAACGCCGAGCATGCCACTCCGTAGACAGAGAGCATCAACGCAGGGTCGATGAAGTTTAGCAGTACCACGCCGACAAAGCTGTCAAGGACATATTAGACCTCGATATCGGCAGTAGCTGTCAGGGTGCTCACCGGCCGACTGTGAATGTGATCTGACAGTAAGAGAATAATTGTCCGGCTTCGGACTCATTAATCCCGACATTCTGGTCGACGAAGAAGTTTACTGCCATCGCAGCGACTCCTACTTGCGCACCCCTATCGCGCGCGCGTCAATAATAGGCTAGGGGCGAGACATGCAACGTAAGACTCACGTATAGGTCGTCTGTGCGATCCTAAAAAATACATCAGCGCCGTCCATTGTCGCAATAAGCCCATATGGAAAGCAACATACCAGCCAAAAATACAGTGATACTGCTTCCAAAATGGCTCCTGATCTGTCTGCACGCCTGCACCTTCCATCTCGGCCGACAGCGCATCTTCCGTGATTTCCGGCAAGGGGCAGAAACTGCACCGAGGTCAGCGAGAGAACGGAGATATCAAGATAGTATGGCGCTTACTAAAACAGGATGTTGAGGACCAACCCGAGACCGGCGACGGCAACGTAGACCCTGTGGCACGAGTACATCAGGACCAACTCTGGCTGTGGCAGTGATACTTACCATTGTACGGTATAGAGCGAGGTGGCGTTCTTCCCAGTGAAGAACCATCGAGAGGCAATCATCGGACCGGCGAAGGATGCGACGCCTTGGAAGCCTTGACTAAAGTTGAGTCGCGCCGCCGCATACTTGGGAGACCCAAGCACGGAGATGTAGGAATTGGCTGCGACCTCAAGACACGATAGTCCGCAACCTAGATATACATTAGGTTAGATGTCTTGCCGCTGGCTTAGAAACGGAGTTGCACACCAATTACAAACGTCGATCCGACAAAACCACCATACTTCGCGTATTTGGCGGACGGCCAGAAAAAGATGGCGCCTGAAATGAGACGTTGAGCGATGAGCGATGAGCGCGTTTATCAGGTGCGCATAACCAACCGATAGAGTAATAGGTCAATCCCATATGGATTCCTTTCTGGATTGCGGCCTTACTCAGCATCGCATGGCACAGCGCGCGGCGAAATTTGACCGACCTTGTATCCATATTTTCTCATCTATGTCATTCTCAGTCAGTCACTTGAGGATGCGGACAGATGGACACTCACAAACAATCCAGCTATCGGCGCATAGACAAAGTACGCGCCCTGCAGTCACCAAGCGAACGAATGAGACCGCTGGGCCACCGGTCGCTCCGATTCCGATCGGCAACTCACAAAGTAGGCAAGCTGGAGCATCGTGCTCTGCAGCTTGGAGATCCCGAAGACGGTCTGGAAATGTGCGTTGAGGACATCAAGGAGCTGCAAACAAGCACCGGCGGGATCAGCGGGGCGATGCAGACAGAGCAGGAGAAGACGTACGCCGTACGCAAAGCCCCACGTGAAGAAGAGAGAGGTCACCAGCGCAAAGGCATATCCCCACTCCCTGCGCGATAGCTCGGATCCTGTAGCCAGCGTCTGTCAGCGCGACGTGCGCTCGCAGAGCAGCGGGAATGGGACGTACCTGTCGTTCCTGCGAGTGCCATGGCGGGAGAGCGAGCACTCTCACCAGCCCAAGAGTGCCGCGATAAATAGTGCCGCTAAGGGTAGAGTCCCCCATTTTGCGGAGCATCATCGAGCGAGGCCACAGTGTATGTCGGATTGGTATCCCTGCCCCGCGTGATGTCCCCAAGCCGCCAACGCGGACCGAGCAAGTGTGCACGCACGCGTCTACACTGGCTGGCTGGTAATTGGGGTGATAACAAGGACCTTGTGATGCCTGGGTCAATGATACGGCGCACCGTCCAGGGAGGAGGACGGGTAAACCTCTGCCATTCGCGTAGACTGAGCGCGTCCACGGGTCTGAACATACACAGATCCCTCCCCGATATGGCCGCGTGTGCTTGATCTCCCCGATCTCGTGATCACGGCTCCGCTCGCGCACCCAGCGCTGAGGGGCTTGCCTGTCTCCATTTACAGTGCACAACCACTGCACGGCGCACACCAGCAGCCTGCGGCGACATGCGGGCACAAGCCCAGCAGCGGCACCGGGACCTGTCGCGCTTTCTCCTGGTCAGCAGTCGCACGCCCGTCGCGCAGGCTTATCCTGCAGCTAACCACGTCCCCGCAGGAAGAGTACCATGCCGTCAAGGCTCGCCACCCCGGCGAGGGAAGAAGATTATGGCGGCTGCGAGTCGCGGACGCGTTCTGGGCCTTGACCCCCACCCAGAAGGACAACCACTCACCGGTGCGTGCAGATCCTCCGAGAAAGCCTCGCACGTCCTCTCCGCGCATGTGCCATCCCGCCGCTTCTCATCCGCATCCCGTCTCCACAGCTCTCCCCAGTGCCGGTGGACGAGGACGCCGGCTTCGTCGCGGACGACGACCCGCTCGACGGGCTCTCCGACGACGCCCCGGGCCTCGGCGTCCTCGTGCGCACCGACTTTGCGAACGAAGATGCGTGGCACGCGTTCTGCAGCAGCCTCCAGGGCGCGGAGGCGGAATTCGTCTCCGAGCGGCCCTCCGAGGACGCAAGCACCAGAGACGCACCGCGCGCGTCTCCCACAGCAGCGGACGACGATGCTATGGATGAAGACAGCAACAGCGACGACGACGAAGACCCCGAGGCCGAGCCGGGCCCCATCATATTCGTCCTCGACGCTGGCCCCGCCGACCGGGCACGCTTCGCCAACATCTCGAATCTGACTGCCCTGCGGCTGCTGAACGACGTCGACGTGCGCCGTGCGCCGGCGGTGCCGGCAGGGACGAGGCGCATCAGGCCCCCCAACCGACTCGTGGACCACGACGGCTGGCAGGAGGTCTACACTGGCAAGACGATCTGGATCTACGATGCAAAGTCGAACAGCGATCAGTGTGCGCGCCTAGTGAGCCAGCACGGAGGGCCGTATGGCACCGCTACGTAAGTTGCACGCTTTTCATTCAAATTCTGGGCCGGCCCTGACGCTGCGCTATGATTTTCAGTGGGGATAGCTGGCGAGCACGCGTGAGCCATCTATGCGAACTGCAGGTCAACCTTGCATCTGGCGCCATGTCGATCAATTTTGGGGAGCAGGACCGCTGGGATCATGATGAGCGAGTGAGAAACATGGCGGATGCCATACGTTGACAAGTGCCGTGGCAATGCGGCTGACCGAGTTGGCGACGACAGCCGACTTGATTGATGCGGGATGGCATGGATTCGGGCTGAATTGAATGGCGTAACCAGGGCCTTTGCATGGATTATAAACATACGACGTCTCAACCTGTGAGCGTGGCATGTACGAGCTATTATGAATTAATGTAGGCTACCTCCGCATTACATCGCTGAATACAACATAGCAGATAATGAGATGATGAGCAGTATAAGGATACGCAGGGCCGGGAACTGTCGGTGAAGATGAGACGCAGATCAGGGCGAACACGGGGATGTCAGACTCACATCAATTAGCGTGTGAGGACAGTAATCAACGGGACATTCTGGTGCTGGGGCCGTCCTCCGGACCTGACGAGGAGGTGGTAGAACGGAGGTCGGACATGCGCTGCGCGAGGCGGGAGCGGGGGTCGCGGGGGTCGCGGGGGTCGTCGTCGCCCGACAGACCGTCGTCCTTGTCGTCGACGAGGTCGTTGCAGTCGAGGTAGCCGCCACAGCACTCGGACTCTGAATAAGAGCTTGGCGGGGGACCCGGGTCAATGGGCTTTGTGTGGCGGGGCGGGTGGCCGTATGGGTGTCCAGGGTGGTCTGGACGGAAGAGGTCGCGGTGGAGGGAGTGGAGGGGTGGGAGCTCGATCCTGCTGGAGCCGCGGGGGGAGGGGAGTCGGCGATGTGGTTGTGGGAGGGGCGAGGGGGTGAAGGAGGGGGTGGCGAGGGAGGTGGGGATGTGATTGTGGATGGGCGGGAGCTGGAGCATGCTGGAGGACGGTTCGGGAGGTGGATGGAGGGCGACCTGCTGGAAGCGAGCGATGGAGGCTGCGGCGGAGGAGAGGTGGTGCATGAGGTCTGAAGTGGCTGCGGCCTGTTTGCGGAGAAGGGGGCGAAGATTAGTGAGCGTGACGCCGGGAGTGGCAAGGAGGCGTACTACTTCAGGGCTGGGGCTGTTTCGCTGGGTGACGGACTGGCCTGCGGCGTGGAGTTTTGCGGTGAGGAGGTCGACCTCGTCCTTGAGACGGGCATTCTCCTCCTCTGTGAGGCGGACGCGCTCTTCGAGGTCGGCGAGGTAGCGGGCTTTTCGAGCACGGTAGTCGCGCTGCTGGAGGAGTGCGCGGGAGGGGGGGATGGTGAGGTCTTTTCTGCGGCCGCGGGTCATGGAGGGCGAGAGAAGAGGGTCGTCGAGGGTCGTGAGGGGAGGAGGAGGAGAAGGAGAAGGAAGGGAAGGAGGGAGGGACATGCACAGCGGCGGAGGCGCCTAGTGAGGCCGCGGCGGCGAGCAACGACATTCGGGATAGGCGCGCGCGGGAGACAGCGCCGGCCGAGTTGACTCGCCCGGATCCGATGTCGGACGGCTGCGGGCACCCATTTTCATGCCAGACAAATTCCATCGTTTCAAGTCTCCCATCTTGACAGATCGCCCACACCGCCTGCAGCCTCCACCTGCCACCGTCTGATCCCCATTTGCTTCCGTCTCCTCCCCCTGATCGCGCCCTCGAGCCACAACCGACCGAGCTCGCCCACGCCGTCCGTACCTCCCCAGCTCATCCACCTGCGACCGACTCGGGACTCGGTGTCATCATCGACAGTCTTGAACCACTATCCCAGGAACACCAGACCCGCGCTGCCAATCCCTCTCCACTGCCAATCAACTCTCCCGCCCTTGTCTCGCGACGACAACCCTTCGCCTCCAGCGTCGCTGGAGCGGGCGACTCCGGCGCTGCCGACGTAGGTGGCACTCCATGCAGCTGCCCCGGCTTTGATCCAGATGCCCCGGGCGCCGGCTTTCCCGGCGATCCAGGTCCTCCAAGCAGCGGTCAAGCCGGCGTCGACCCTAGCACGGATCCTAGCTCTAACACTCAAAACAACGATGACGCCACTACCACTCCCGGTACTAGTGGGTCTAGTGACGCCTCCGACGGCCTAGGGAATGTTTATCTCGCTGCAGGTGGCCCGAATGCGAATTCGGACTCTGCGACTGGTGCGGCCGACAGCAGTGCGCCAGCGACTTCTGACGGTGCGAATGCTGCCTCGGGCTCACCAAACAGCGGTGGCGACCCATCTTCTCGCACCGCTGCCCTCAACTCTGCTTCCCGTGTGGCTAGCCCTCCTGACAGAGGAAACGGAACTGGCGACCACAATTCAGAATCGGACTGTACTGCCTCTGGTGCTAACATAAACGCTGCTGTTGATGGCGGCGCCAGTAGCACAGGCTCCGACCCCAACTCTGGTGCGGTAGACGCAGCTCCTCGTGCTGTCCCTGGCGCTGGCACCGACACGGCCAACACGGCCGATAATGGCGTCAACTCACATGAAAATGTAGATTTTGTTGTCGCGAACGCGCACAGAGCTGATTCAGGAAATACAAACTACAAATGGCGCATCTGATTCAGCTGGCGCCTCCCCTCGTGTGGATGTGGTTGCAGACTCATGACTGACAGTATCTTCTCACCCGAAGACAGCGGGAATGATCATACGAGCTTTGGCGCGGCCGCAGCAGCCCCTCCGGACGGTAGTGCGGAAAGAACACACAGATTGGTGCCACAAGCGCTGCAGACCCTGCTGGGCCTGATGACAACAACGAGATGGCTCGTCTGAACACTAGCTTACGACAGTTCTGCGTAAGGCTGGTGTGTTTTGATTTGAATACTGGCAGCGAAATGGGGTCGGGGTTGACAGCCGATATGAACATCCCCCAGCTACCGGGCGTTAACACGGGTTGTGAGTGTGGGGGGCGACGTTAACGTTTGCTTGAATGTGGGCTCGTAGATGCAGTGTCTGAATTGCGGCATGCTACGTGTCCCGCCTGTGATGATACTTGTTGATCCATTTCTAATGGCCCATTCACACAATTATTCTTATCCTCTTGCGCTGGTCCTGGAAAATCCAGCACTGCGATTTTTGTGATTCGCCATTGGGAACCCTAGACCCAGCTTCTGCCAAGGATTTTCCGTGATGGGACAGGCACTGGCAAGTCGAGTGTGACACCGAAGGGGTATGTTTGAAAATTGTCTCGCTGCAGGCACTGCTGTGATCAGTGCGCTGCTGGCTCCGGTCAGATGCAGCGCGTCACCGCTGTCACCGAGTCGCGGTCGTGGCCTCGTGTCGTGCAGTCTAGTAGGGAAGCATTGGCCCAGCACCTCGAATCAACCCCGTCTCTGCTCTCATCGCATCCCACCACCTGAAACACTGACCCTGCACATTGTATCAGATTTTGAGCCTCAGCCAAAGTTGCGCCGACCCAGGGGGGAGATCGAGGTGTGCATCACGGGTTCGTGGCCCTTGTTTCCCTGAGTGGCTGAATGAATGACCCGACGTGATGAGTGAATGAACGTTGAATGCTTGAAGATGAACGTCGAACATCATTGCCGGACCAGACGGCCAATCTATCAGCACTGTGCGGTGACGCAGGCCACCGTCGGACAGGTTATAGAATCTGCAAAGGGCCCCCGCCGCGTCCTCCGGCCTCTCGCCGCCGCTGAGGGGGCTTCTGGGCTGCCTCGCCTCAAGTCTGATGACCGTTCTATCAGGGTGGTCCGGGACCAAATTGGAGCCGCCCAAGTTCCCTCCGTCCGTCCGATGTTCGTTCGGATTTTCTGCACTGGCTGTAGATGGGCTTTAATCCTTTCGCGGGGAGCTCCTAATAGTCGCCGGCAGTTTGTCGGCCAGAGAAATCGATATGCAGCTCAGCAGGGGGGAGGGGGGGCCGCACGGAGAAATGAAAGGTGAAAAGTGAAAAGTGAAAAGTGAAAAATTAAAAACAAAATTAAACGTGAACGTGCAGAAAGCGTCGTCGCATGTTTCGTCCGTTCGCCCGCCGTTGAATATTTGCGGCGCAATTCCGAAATCCGGTGCACGGCCGCACACGGATCTCGAGCCACAATGCGCGATCGCAAAATGAGCGCTAATCGGCCGGTCTCAAATTCCTGCGAAAAATAGAACTGTGGACGTGTTCTGCGCACCCATGGGGCTGAATTCCGCCGAGTGCTCAAAGTTCGTTGATCTTACTTGCGACATTGTTCATCGTTCAACGTCGTACTGCCTTGAAGAAGGTGGGCTACCGGACCTCTCCAGTGGTTTGTGGGTCCGGGTATCTCACTGAGCAAAGTTAGTTCCATCGCTCTCCGTCCCTCCCCTGCATCTGCCGCTGATTAATTCTCACAAGGCTCAAGCCAGCTTACCAACCTCCAGCCCGCTTCGTATCCCGCAGACGGTCTCCGGCACGGCGGGCAGTCACTATTTACCCAGACAACTTACTCAGGCAGCCTAAGGGTGATTGAAACCTTTTTGGCTGAGGCTGTTCAATCAGACTTCATTTCATTCCTGGCTTTTCAAGTCCGCGCATGCCACATGACGCGCTACCGTGCTTGACGCTGTCGACTTGTGCGTTTGTCACGGTGGGCACTCCGATTCGCATGGTCGCGCACTCGCCATTGCACAGACGCATAGACGCAACTGCCAGCCGGACCATCAGAGTATGAGCGCTGTGTCGTGCCTCGGCTGCTGATACCATCGGTGGAAAAATCGGAAATCGCCAAGACTCAGACTCCACTCGCAGAGGCATAGAATACGCTTAACAGCACGACTCATGCAGCCATGGTGACCTCCCTCCTCTTAGTTTCTCCTGCTCCTGATGCTTTCTACAGTACCTTCCATACGCGGGTAGGTTCAGCATCGGCGACCTCTGCTGATGAGGCTAGCCGATGCCAGTGGGTGGATCACGCACCGCCATCATCTGCGCCACGAGATCATTATCTCAAAATTAATACTCCCAGTGGCATCGCGATCAGCTTCTCGTCAATATGCCGCTACGCACGCCGAGCGGCAGCGTGCAACCGCTAGGGCATTCGAGTGCGGTCATCTCCTTCATCTTGTTCACAACGCAACGAGGCTGACTATGCCTTTTGGGGCGCAGAGATCGGACGGACTCGTGGACATATCGGCCACTAGCCCAGCGCCATTCGTGCGCTGACTGTAGCATGACACCGAACACGAACGCTGCGTTATCAGGAACGTCCGTTGTGCTCGCAATTTTCGTGTCGAGAGCGCGGGGACGCGCTACGGTCTCATGGGTTCGCGCACACGGAGATCGCGGCACGGTTAGTAACGGGGCATCCAGTGCCATCTACATTGCGCTAGTGGATAACACTGAACCTAAAAGTCGGTTAAACTGTGTCTGCGATCTCGTTTGATTGGCACATATTGATACTGGGACACAAGCCAGTCGTCGCCCGTCTATCTATTTTCCTTTTCCCGGATCACTCAATGGGCTCGTAAGTATACCGCTTGCACGTACATCTCAGTTAGTCAGATTCGGTCTAGATCGGTTAGCACCTGCATATTCCAACACATCGCATGGAAGCAAGACGCGAAGAAACACTTTTGTACGTCCAGGCTGGATGTCTTTCAATTCGCCTGGCGCAATTCTGAAGATGTCACAGCGGCAAGTCATCTCGGAAGGCTGGCGCGGGGATCTCCGATAAACGCCCATTTTGGCGAGCGTCCCGATCAGGTGGCTGGATGTTCAACGTTCAACTTTGAACCCAACCCGAGCTACGAGCGCGGCGAGATCCAAATTGTTTTCACCCTGCATATACCACATATACATTGTTTCTCACATGACTCGTCCTGGAAAGCGGCGTCTGGTGCACAGCGATGCCAGCGAAAGCGAGTCGGACGACGGCCTGTCGGTGTTCAGCGCACCTCAGTCTCAGGGTGGGTCGATCGAGTCCACAATAGGCCTTCGTTTCTGACACTTCCCATTGGAATCGCAGCCACACCGCCGCCCCCTTCACAGCTCTCCACCTCCCGGTTCCAGAAACCACGCGCCAGCACGCCTCGAGAAGCGCGCCAAGTCCTGTACCCCCGCCTGCCGTTCACCAGGCAGTTCACACCCATCGACCCAGTGCAAATTGCGCTGCACAACGTCTGCTCCTCCGACTTCTACGTCGGCTCTCCCGGGATCACGCGCAGAGTCAAGTGGCAAAAGTACAAGGACCACAGCATCTTGCTCGTCAAAGGTGCGGAGAGGGACACCGAAGCTGAACTGGAGTGGGTCGGGGAAGTCGACGCGATGACCTCATCCTACAACCTTTATGTCTGTGGTAATTGGACGGGTCGATATGGGGACTTCACCTCTGCGAAGGCGCGCGCACAGATCGTCAAGCCGACGAGAGAGCGCTGGGGGTGTGTTGCGGAGGAATGGGAGAAGGTTGTGGCGGGCTTCAAAGCGATTCGGGACTCCAAGTCTACCCCCGGCGCTAGCTTAAGTGATGGCAATCAAGTCGTTTATGACTCGCAAGCACCCTCAAGTGTGAAAGTGAGGCATGCAGTATTCGAAGTAAGAGTGCCTGCGCTGCATGGCTATTTTGTAGAGCTGATATACAACTATCAGGCTGTTCCACCAGGTACTCATTTAGAAGGTATGCAAGCCGGGGGTAGACCCTCACGAGTCGACTCGGTTCGCGCAATCACGCTGATCGCTGGTTCGCAGCGGAAGACACCCAAGATCCGTTTTCGATGGCGAACTGGCGGGG